CACACACACACACACACACACACACACACACACACACACACACACACACACAAAGAGAATGCCACAGTTCCCTCTCTCACCAGTTCAGCACAGACAGATCTGCACGACTCTGCAATTTGATTTGCTTTCTATTGCACAGCAGTATAAATGCATACAGTCATACTTCCCTGGGCAGAGACAGGACAGGGATTGCCAGCGCACTTACCTTCATCAACACATAGCCTGCCGCCATAAGTGCAAACACGACAAGGAACATGATAAAGAGCCCGCTCTCCCAATTATTCGCTGTGACCTGTGCATGACAACAGAATAGCAGTCAAAGGCAAGCAGACGGGAGCACAAATTTGAAGTCAAAAAGGCATTGTCAGTCGGCGGCTTTGCACAGACGCACTTGAAAACTGTGGCACTCTAACTTACCCAAACGTCTTTAGTTTGCCAAACCAAGTACTAACATCCCGTGCCACCTGCTGTCAGGAAGTTGTCAGCTCATCATTGACCAAATACACACCTCACAGAATCGTCAGCATGCACGTACAATATCAAAAGGACCGCAAAGAGCAGCTCATCACCAGACCACCACGAACAGACGTAAAATTTGAAGACTGGGGAAGAAACATAGACAGACACCATGTATCCTCAGACTTCTAATTCACCTCAAAGTAATAGAGAGCCAGCCAGAGATGGAATGTAGGCATCACTTGTACACACTTGATACAGCATGCAAAATGAGTCGTCGCAAAAAAGACAAAAAAACAAAAGGAGTCGCAAAGAACAACCATGCACTCCACTTTCTCAGCTGGTCAGTTGGACGGCCAACCCAGCAGCCACAGTTTTTTCTTCCATTTGTTGTATCACTCCCCACTTTTCAACAGCCATTCGGTCCATACATGCACTACCACACATCGTCTTCCTCCACCATTCCCTTTCGTTGAGTGTCGTAGTTACCGCAGGGTCTCCACTTTCTCAGTTGGTCAGTTGAAGGACCGATCCGTAAGCCACAGTTGTTTCTTCCATCGTCTTATATCACTCCAGTTCTGAAACAACCATTCCCTTTTCGCAACTTCCCTTGCTTTCTCCGTCGGTCCCTAGGAGAGCCAATCTGGCAGCCGCAGTGTGTTTTCTTCCATGCGCAAATAACGACTACATACGACGGATTCTGAAATGTGTTATCTCAACCAATTTGCTATTCATATAGATATTTGTCGTCACATATATATCAACTAAAAGAGCACACTTTGCAAAACAACCGAAGAAATAGTGGACAGAACGAAGCACACTGAAACTGTTCTTTTGAATTTTCCTGTGCAGTTTGTTCTTTTCTTTCTTTATTTTAGCTAAGTCAATTATTAATATCGGGTCAAATGCCTACTGTAGAGGCACCGACGGATTTTAAAAATGAAAAAAAAAAAAAAAAAAAGGGTTAAACGTTCCATCAAACATTCCGCTGCAATGGTTGCCCATTCAGCCATCCAGCCCACTAGATTACCCAACATCAAGGCCCAGGTGGTGGTTACCAAAACGGAATGACCATTTAAAGGTGGACTCACTGTAGTGATACAACAACAAGTCACATGGACAAAGCAAAAACAACAGACATCACCTTCAATTTAAACACACACACGAACCAGTCTGGCACAGTCATGCTTTTTTGTGGAGTTGTGTATAGCAAACGTGACAACACACACGCACACACACACACACACACACACACACACACACACACACACACACACACACACACACACACACACACAAGTCTGCACATGGAAGGGAACTTATCTGCAGGGGACGGTGCCTTTTTTTTTCCGAATTCCCTGACAGCGCTCTTTTTCTTTGAGACCTTCTTCATATTTAGCCGCAATCCTGGGTGCAGACTGCATCAGCTCCTCTCTTGCATCAGTAGGGTACCTGAACCGAAATTTATACTGCAGCTTTGGATGTGGTGGTCACCCTCTTCCTGATGGTGTGGGTACTGAGAAATATGCATACTCCACAACCCGATCTAAATCAAAATACGGTGCTTACTATTTACACAAGTGGACCAGCCGCAGCGATGCTGCGGCGATGGGGAAAGGGAGGGGGGGGGGGGGGG